TTTTTAATACCGTATTTTCTCATGTTGCTAAAAATAATTAATATAAGAAAACTCAATTATTAAAAAATTGATCAAAAATTTTGAAAAAATTTTTAAAACTCTATAAAAAAAAATTTTTGTCTCTTACTGTTTTCCTGTAAAGTTAATAGTATTTGAATAAAAAATTACCAATATTCGGCAATTTTTAATAATTAATATCTCGTTAACCATTGCGAAAATTTTTATCAGGAATTGTACAGTTATAATGTTTATGAAATTTATTCAGTTGATCATTAAACTCATTTTGTCTTATAAATTCAACGCATATAAATTCAACTGTCGATCAAATAGTTGGCGATTCTAATAACATCTCATACAATTGCGAGCGAATATAATAGTAAAATGAATTAATTGTTACTAGTATTTACAACTGTTACAACATCAAACACAGTCTTATTACGTAAAACTTATAACTTTACTTAACTATTACAATATAATTTGTCTTGTATTTACATTGAAAGTGACTCGATTAGGGTCGCATTAAACAGTTATGCAATCTATTACTAACGTATAAAATTAATGTTTGTAATATATTGCATAATTGTTATTAATATGTTATTTATGTAACCTTTGAACAGTAATGTTGAAAAAAATTACATCAACGGTAATGTCGTCCGTCTGACAAATCACTGTCATGTTTCCGCTAAATTTATGTTTTTTATGAAAAATGTGCACAGTATGTATACTATGTACGCACGTATATGTGTTTGTACGTATTATATGTATGTGTACTGAGAGAAAAATGTCTGATACTTGTAACTTTATGTCTGATACTTGTAACTTTATGTCTGATACTTATAAATTATATATTACTATAATTATTAATGGAAGGTTTGTGCCTTGTGCTAAGTGAAGCGCTATTTTCTTTTTGTCAGAGACCTATGCCTTTCGCTATATGGCCACGCACGATATAGTTTCGTTAGCGTAAAAATGAGTGAGGCAGTTTATGCAGGAATATACTTCTCCTTATAACATATATTTATAATAACTCATAATGTACAATGATCAGCATTAGTCTATGGTGGAATTAGAAAGATGATCCATTGCGCATAATGGTGGAGGACCCCCAATCAAAAATTGTACTTTTTTTGCAACGTGAACGAATTATGTGAAATAAGTTCAAAACTTGATTGGCTGACAGATCCCCCTACTACTTTTAACTGCGCATTCGTTGGAATTACCTTTCTAATTCGACTATGCACCGGTCCACATGCAGTCGAACAATGGCAGACACTAACAACCAGTGCGCCTTGCGGTTATATAAGCATGCTGGTCTAAGGGCGAAATCCATAGACATGTTGCTCAAGATTCGAGATGATTTTAAGCTAATAAAAATTGAGATGTAATGCTAATACGGCTCTTTGATTGGTTCATGACATCTCAAACATTAGCTTAAGATCTCGAATCTTGAGCAACGTTTATGGATTCCGTCCTGTATAGCGCCACGCAAGCGCGATAGAGAAATTGGTACGCAGCCACGCGCGATATTCGAATGACTGAATTTTTCTACTTATACTAGCTGATATTACGCAGAGACAATAATTACGAATATTACTACTATAATATTAATAACAATATACAGGCTATTCTACTTAACTCGACCATCTAAAATATCTCGCTTAGTTTTTAGAATAGAAAAAAATGTTTTCAGATGAAACCATAAAACGGTTTCAAAGGAGACATATTTTGGTTATCTTTTTTTTAAGTGGAGGCATCAAAAAGGTATGAAGATCTCCATTTTTTAAATGGAATTGTATAATTTTTTTATATAATATGATTCCTCCAATTATTTTGCATAAAAGTATTAAAATAATGAAAAAAAAACAATAGTTTATGAAATATTTTATACTTTATTTTGATATATATTGCCTTAGAATGTTAAATAACTCGTAAACTATTAACTTTTTTGTAATCGTTCCTTAATACTTTTATGAAAAAAATAATGAGATATATGAATCAATTGTTGGAAAGAAAATACATACATAAGAGTATACATTTGTTGCTAAAACTGTATATATGATTATTATTATTAATATTATAGCAGTAATAATCATAATTATAGTAATATGTAATTATAGTTAGAATATCAGACATAGAAATATCAGACATTTTTCTTTCAGTGTATGTATATATATATATATTATTAGGTGTACAATTTTGCTTCCGCCGTTTTTTTCCGAAATTCGAGGCTTTATTGTAAAAAACAGGTTATACATTTATGATTCAAAGTATTGTCCATCGCTGGCCACTACTTTCTCCCATCTTTCGGGTAGCGTACGAATCCCGTGTCGAAAAAACTGGTCATCTTTTGAGCCACGAATCGATCCAATTTTTTACTTCTTCATAAGACCGGAAGTGCTGGTCAGCCAGGCCGTGTGCCATTGATCGAAACAAGTGATAGTCAGAGGGAGCAACGTCTGGAGAATACGGCGGGTGGGGTAGGACTTCCCATTTCAACGTTTCCAAGTATATCTTGACCACTTTCGCAACATGGGATCGAGCATTGTCATGCTGCAAAATCACTTTATCGTGTCTTGTATTGCGGCCGTTTGTCTTTCAATGCTCGGCTCAAACGCATCAATTGCGATACCGATCGCCTGTGATTGTTTCAGTCAGTTTTAACAGTTCATAATACACTACGCCGAGCTGGTCCCACCAAATACAGAGCATGACCTTGGATGTCAAAATCACCGTTCTTGAAACCACTCACGACACGTCTTCTTTCACTAATAGCGGCCTCATCATAAGTATTTGAGAGCATTCGATGAGCCTCAGCCAGATTTCTTCATATTGAAGCAAAAAATTAAAACCTCCCGCAAATGACGAGAATTTGGCTCGTAAACTGACATTTTCAATCGAGAATAATTTTATGATGCAGACACAAATCGACTAATGTTTCTATGAGGTTATGTTAACAGATACCCAAGTTTATTGTATGACGTCTATGATCTATTTATTTCGACCACCACTTACCGCTAAAGCCATCTATAGGAAAACGGCGGAAGCAAAGTTATACACCTAATATGTATATATATATACACCATATATGCATGCGTGCGTGCGTGCGTGTGGTCTTCATTATCTTCAGAGATGTCAGACACATTTAACATTTAAATCATTTTCTATGTCAAAATCTGTTTCTTCAAGTTCTTCATAATTTTTTGGATAATTGTCAACGTTACAGTACTAATAGAGTGCTAATAAAAGAAAACCACAAAAACTTTTCTAACGTCACAATATAGCAGCACCGTACGAGAGTCGTTTAATAAGTTTGGTAAATTTCCATGAGATGGCGCTACAATTCATTTGATGACGCGACATCTCGAAAGATCCACTCTTCGAACCCCTTCAGGCCAAATTTCAGCCAGAAAGGACGCGTAGTTCATGTTTGATAGTCATTTGAAGCGAGTGGTTTAGCAGTTTCCGCAAAAATGGAAAAAAACGAATTTCGTGCAGTAATAAAACACTTTTATTTAAAGAAGTGGACAGCAGCACAGATCAAAGCCGAGTTAAACGAAGTTCATGGGAACTCTGCTTCTGCATTGAAGATTATTTTTGGATAAACGAATTTAAACGTGGTCGAACCTGCACTGAAGACGAAGCACGCTCCGGATGATCTGTTGAGATTACCACATTGGATATCGTGGAAAAAATCCATGATATGATTATGAAAAATCGTCGAATGAAGGTGCGTGAGATTGCTGAGGCTGTAGGCATTTCTACGGAGAGAGTGCATAACATCCTGCACGAAAAATTGCATGTAAAGAGTTGGGTGCCGCGATTGTTTACTCTCGATCAAAAACGCATGCGAAAGGACGTTTCAATGCAGTGTTTGGTGATGTTTAAGCGCAATCCGCAGGACTTTTGGCGTCGATTCGTGACTGTGAACGAAACTTGGATCCATCATTACACTCCTGAGACGAAGCAGCAGTCAAAGCAGTGGATAATGTCTGGTGAAAGTGCATTGAAAAAGGCGAAGACTGTTTTGTCGGCTGGAAAGATGATGGCCACTGTTTTTTGGGATTCTCAAGGAATTATCCTAATTGACTACTTGCAGAAGGGTAAGATAATAACAGAAGAATCTTATGCAACGTTATTGGACCGTTTAAAATAAGAGCTGAAAAAAAAACGGCCAAGATTGGCGCGCAAAAAAGTGCTCTTCCATCAAGACAATGCGCCGTCCCACAAGTCGACCGTTGCAATGGCAAAACTACATGAATTGGGCTATGAATTGATTCCTCATCCACCCTATTCTCCGGATTTGGCCTCGTGTGACTTCTTTCTATTCCCAAACTTAAAAACTTGGCTCGGTAGGAAGAAATTCTCGTCAAATGAGGAAATCATTGTCGCCGTCAATGAGTATTTTGCAGACTTTGAGACAGCCTATTTTTCCGACGGTATTAAAAAATTGAAAACTCGTTGGACTCAGTATATAGTCCTTGATGGAGACTATGTTAAGAAATAAAGCAGATTTTTTCCAAAAAAATGTGTTTTACTTGCTTTTTTACCAAATTTATCAAACGACCCTCGTACAGTACTATAGTAATATACTAGCGAATAAGAATTGAAATGTATAAATAAGACGTAGATGAAGAAATACATATATACATGCTCAGTTCCGTAAAAATATTACATAAATGCCCGGTGATACTATTACGATTTTCAAAACTGTTTTTATATTACATGTTCTTAGATAGAAATAGGTAGATAACCAAATGAGATCTCAGCACGGTTTGCTACGGGAGAAATAGCATACGGAGATACTATGAGTTTAAAGTGTCTTGTAAAAAGTTGATATTAAAGGAGTTTATTAACAAATAAAAAGTTTGAAGCGATGAAATCGACGTTATCGTTTATTAATTAATCATCAACGATTTTGCTTGGTCATAGTCCTTTTTTATTTCTTTTAATTTTACAATTAATTCAGCTTACTTAAATACATGTTGTAAATATTATTTTAGAGTTCAGAATTAAATACGTGGCAACGACGAGTAGCGGAACTAAGCGGACGCGTCGCCGAGTTAGAGGAAACACTATCCAAAACACAAAAAGATCTTTTGAAGGCACAAGAGGCAAGTCTTAAATTGCAAAGAGATTTACGAGAGAATGCGGCACAAAAAGAGGACCAAGAAGAACGAATAGCAACTTTAGAAAAACGATACCTCAATGCTCAACGAGAATCTACTAGTCTTCATGATCTCAATGAGAAACTGGAGCAGGAGTTGCAGCATAAGAAAGCTCAATTAAAGGTAAATTACAGATTAATTCTTATTTTCTCTTTTTCTTAATTCTAACACTCACTTTCTCTCTTATGTTTAATTTACTGAAGCTCCAAGAGGAAAAAATTGCTGCTATACAAGAAAAACTAGAACTCGCGGAACAAAAATTAGCTCAATATGCTAAGTTACCAGAAATGGAAGAGCAATTAAAGCAGAGGATGGAGGCTCTGACGCAGGTGAGGAGGCCCAACCAGGTACGCAGAGGAATCATATCATGTCACATCATCAGCTCTCCCTTTTTTTATTCCTCTGCACTTAACATTCCTAGAATTTGTATCTAGAAGGCTTATCGTTCTTGCCATGCATTATTATTAAAGTGCTCTCATCATATTTCAGTTAATTTTATCAAGCCACAATTTGCTGCTGCGTGCTTGTATTACTATATGTATGGTACATAAAAACATTTAGCATACATACGGATCAAGTATTTTTGTGTACTACTGTGTATCTTTGTAATGTTTACCCTGAAATACACAAATTACTAAATATAAATACAAGCTCAATTTACAGATTAAATTCATTGCATCAAGAATTTTTAGTTACATGATTTCTTCACATATTCTTGAAAATTAATTATGTCTTATGATTCTATCTCATATTTGCAAACTGACATGATGTAGCATGAATAGTGAAAGTCAATCTCGTCTGTACAAAATCTATTATTTGCATAAATAATGGATACGTTTCAAATATCATGATTTATAGTGTATTACTTTTAGAATGTTTTAATATGTGACATATTCTTCCCTAGCGGAAAAATTTCTATATCAAAATACGCCGAAAAGTACGCCTTTCTATTTCTGTGACTGTGGCGTAGAATCGCGTTGTTAAACATAGAAATAACGCCAAGCTACATATGCGAAAAATGTAAAATGGCGTATTTGGACCTTTAATTAGAAACGCCAAAGTACGCGCTAATAATCATTACTTCCTGAACTACACGTTCCTATGCCGAACTACTCCAAACTAATTTTTATTCTTTTATAGTATTTGGAGAAAGTATGCCATTTTACGTTTTTTTACGCGGAATTACACTCTATAGTCTAATAGTTGGGTACAGAAATAACAATGGTAAATTACACGTTTTTACTTGAAAAATATAAAATGGCATATTTAGACTTAATTAGGCATAAAAAATACGCCAAAATACGCGCTAATGATCATTACATGAATTATGCATTTCTACGTCGACTCCTCTAAACTGGTTTTCATTTTTTCGTAAGTTCGGAGAAAGTATGCCATTTTACGCAGAATTACATTCTACAATCGAATAGTTGCGCACGGAAATAACTATGCCTATTTAGCCAAGCTACGGTTGCATGAAAAAATCCTGAGGTATGTATTTCTATGCCAAATTATGCCAAAGTACAATACTTCTATATAATCTTTGAATTTTTCCGTTTGTAAGCCATTTTATGAATTACTTTTACTCATCTATGAGCATTATGCATCTCCGCCGACAGAGGATCACGGCGGAAATGCATGAGCTCGAAATAAGAATTACTTGGGAAAGTATATAAGGAGCGCAGCATTTCGCATGTGAAGTGAGCTCAAAGTTGAGCTTTAATATTAAAGTACCTATGCTACGGAAAGAATTCTAATTTCATCATGACAGCAACGTAATAGCATTTGAATTCATGCCAACTGAAATACCATCATGTTACTTTAAACAATGCACATATATCCAAAACTATGCTTAGAGTATAATTTCGTGTAAGAAGGCGTAAAGACATAGGAGTAGACTTCTACACCAAACTACTTTCATGGTTCATTCGCATACTTAGACGCAGATTTTTGTAGTTAAGCATACTTTCGGGCTAATTAGGGGCGTATTTTCTGGCGCAGTTTGCCGTAGTTTAGCGTTGTTTGGCACAGAAATACATGGCATGAATCGGATTACTTTGGTGTAGAAGTAGAATTCTACATTCGGATCAAACTATATCCGGATTCCAAACGTATTTAGGAATAGTTTTTGGCGTATTTAAGAATAGTTTTGGCGTTTTTACTTTGGTATAGAAACTTTCCTGTCAGGATTTATTCTGTTTTTTGCTCATATGAATATAACACTTTTATTTTCTTACTGCTATAATAGAACGTTGCTACAATAGAATATGTCATTCAGATTAAATAAGAATATTAAACTAATTATATACAGGATCCCGTAAGTTTTGGTCAATTTTTGTGTAAATAGAGCGGATTAAACTGCGAAAAATGCTCTACCATTTTGCAATTTTCACAATAGTTAACAAGATATTGATTACTAAAAATTGCTGAATATTGATTTTCAATAATTTTGTATTCCAGTACTATCAATTTTACAGAAAAACAGTAAGAAATAAAAATTGTTTGTTTTCTTCTCATAAAATTCTGAGGATTTTTTCAGAATTTTTTTAGTACCACATTTACTCATGTTAGTAAAAATAGTTGCCAATATAAAGAAATGTAATAAAAAAGAGTTGATAAAAAATTCTGAAAAAATTTTTAAAGCTTTATGAGAAAAAAATAAACAATCTTTTCTCTCTTGCTGTTTTTTTTTAAGTTAATTATTGAAAGTTAATATATTTGGTGATTTTTAATAATTAATATCCTACTAAGTATTGCAAAAATTACAAAATGAT